GCTTCCGGTGACCGAAAATAGCGGATATCCCATTAACTGCCGTAAGGCAGCACCCAGGCAGCCAGGCACCCTCTCCATTTCCCATAACCCCCCTTAGCTAACACTTTTTCCTCCGCCACAACAAGATTAGCACCTCTAACTAGTTAACTGTGGCCTTTCTTTCTTTCTTTCTTTCTTTCTTTTTCCTTTTTTTAATTTTTTTTAATTTTTTTTATTTTTTGGAAGCCTCGATTTTTTTAGTTGCTGGTAAGTGCTAGTACATGTGGCACGAGCAAGATTAGGCGGAAAAGGATGTACTGTAGCTGTATATGGCTTTTATTGGATAATACCCCTGATTTTTGTGGAGGTGCTGTCTTATGGCAGTTAATGGGATACACAAGTGCACACAGCTGCCAGGTACCTACGGCACGATTATGTAAGGTGTCTGGTGCTGATATCGCTGCCATAGGGTTGATTTCATGAAGTAGCTTCTCAAAGATTCCTTTCCTGTCACAATCTCAGGTTGCCTAGGTTTAACATCGTCATGCCTAATCATCAAAAGTTTAGAGGTCTTCCTCATGTCACCACGCGCGGTGATGAGCATAACGAAAACACGAATGAAAAAGCAAAAATTGCGATTGCTGGGATGCCAGAGGCATCTCCAAAAGACGGTTGACTCCACTATGTGCAATGCAGACCCCCCGTCTTCCCTCGGGAAATTCGTGAGCTTCCCTCGGGCATTCAAGGTAAGTTTGAAGAAAGAAAGCAAAAGAGGTGGAAGTGATGGCTAGAAGGGCCAGCATTTAACTATTCAAAAGTGGGACCCTTGGGCGGTGAAGATTCTGCCGCCTCACCTACCCATTCAAACAACCAATAATCTGGGTCGCCGTAACAACAGGCCAGTCCATATCTTGGGTAACCACTACCACCAGTGCCATTCTTACCTGAAATGACGGGATGTACATAAATTACAGGAAGTTTCAGTTATAGATAGGTTGCTGGTCTACTAGGTAAGGTAGGCCCCAAGTTCGCTAGGTACCTGCAAGTAATATGTTAGCGGTTACCCCTCGGTATTCTCCATCGGCCTCACGTCCAACGTCTCATTCGTTCTTGTCGGTTGACCGATTGACTGACTTCCCCAACATATCCGTCACATTTATTTCCTCTATTCGAGTCTCCATCGATTGACTGACTCTCCTGTCGTTCAGCCCACGCTCACTACCACCTTGTATCTAAGTGGCACTCACTCGGGATCCAGGTGGACTTTATGCACTAGCAACTCATGGGCAGTGTCTCTTATGAGTCGTTTGGTTGGTTAGGTCCTTTCCTTTGTGGTGCAGATATGAGCGCCATCAGAGCGTCTCGTTTAGCATGCGTGGTAGGCAAGGTGAACTAGAAGACCGCGAACCTAGCTTACCTCTCATCAACGCCTACCGCCGCCGCCTTCCTGATGAGCTTGATATGCCGGACTTCTTCGTGGCATACATAAAGAGAGGTTCATGGTGGATTCATTCCTGTGTTAGTCCATAAAGGCCACCTAAATATTAGAAACTAGCCAATAAGTGTTTGGGATGAACAATCCATTATTATCATCATGCCTAACATCGCACTCAAGCTGAGTTGGCCCCTGAAGGGAAATCATCTCCTATCTCTCAGCACCTCATGCCATCTGACCTCCCTGTACCCTTAGATCCAAATACAAATTGATCCCCGCTCTAGCCACCTTGATTATCAACTGCCACAGCCATGCCTTTGGTCCCTCCAGCCCGAAACATTCCGGCATTCTCTTGCCCCCCCCCCCCCCCCCCCCCCCTAATCTTTGATGCGAAGACCAGTAGCAGTAGCAGCAGCAGCAATAGCAGTGTCGATGGCAGTACCAGTATCAGAGTCAGTCTTGGTAGCAGTGGCAGCAGTGGCATCGAACTCTATGTGAATACAGTCGACAAATTTGCGATTGGCCATCAGCTCAAGTTGCCTCATAGCGACCTTATCTTCCATTTTCAAGAGATCGAGGCCTTCTCCCTCATCCTTCCAGTCGATAACGGCCACGGCGATCTCGAGAGTCTCCTTGCTCATGACTGGAAGGCCCTTGTCCTTGTGAGTCTTGATCATGTGGCTGTAGACAGCGATCTTGATGGCTTCAGCAATAGACATGCCCTCAGACATGTCCTTATACATGCCCTTCCTGGGGGTGCGAGGTTCAGCTTTCTCACGAAAAAAGAGGCTCGCCCTGGGAGCATAGCTGAAGGGGAGCTCGATAGCTGCATAGGCGTCACAATTGTACCTATTCCCGCCGGGACAGTTGCTGTGGGAGAAGTAGGCAAGAAAAGCCTTCTTGTCGTCCGAGATGGGCATGATGAAGTATTGCTAGTAGAGTGGAGAAGTTGATGGTCTTGTATTGATAACTTGTCGGTGATGTGTCGAGAAGGGAAGACAGAGTTGTGTTGAGTCTAAGTGGATGATGATAAGGGGAAGGAGGCATTATACGTGGATTGGGCGAAGACGTGCTTTAAGTAATCTCATCAGTCCAGTTGTAAGCCTAGGGGCATCAAGGTCTCCGTGCTATTCACTTGGTGTACCATGAGCACCCTAGACTCTTCTAATGGATAATCAAAGATTTCTCGCAGAATCACCAAATGTCAAAGGCATGTCTTTGAAGTCGCATCTACCTACCACTCTATCTATATCTGCTTTTACTATAGTTCCAACATTCAATTAGTCTTGCTAAGGCTTATAAGAGCGTGCTCAGGTGGTTGAAAGAAACAGCAGGATATTACTACATGCACCTCAGTCTCTAGGTTCCAGCGTATGTAAAGGTCAAAGCATCGCGATATCAAAGCCGCATTCAACAGAGCTCCTATGTATGTGTACTAATCTAATTGTGCCGCTCAGATCTAGATAGAAGGCACTGGGACACATGCAGCTGAGTCTAAGAGCAAATGCATAAGTAGACAGAATGTAGGTGCAAAAGCGTCAAATTCCTTTCATATCAACGCCCACCCTACTTTTCTTTAATGCTGGCAGAAAAACCGAAGCATGCTAGTCGAGTTCCTGCCCGCAAATCCATTCATAATGTCATGTTAGAAGGCCATCATATTAAACCACCCAGCTCACCGCCAGGTTTATCACTGTAGGGGAAACCATCCATATCTTTCTAGTAGCAGCCATCGTATCCCCTTATTACATTTTGAGCAGCTAGAATATGTAAGGGAACGCTTCCATAAGCACAGGCTTGCATGAACATCTCGTTGACCTTGGCACCTGATACCCATCTGTTCATCTTCAGTCAGAGAGGAGCACACGTAAATAAGTAGGCCCCATCCCCCGCATTCGATATAATAAGTATAATGTTTGGTTTATAGTCGGGAAGAAGGAATAGTAGGATGAAGCCAGAAATGCGCAAGTATATGCTTCCTCACGGATGACTTAGATCGACCAAACGTCTCCATCGCCTAAAATGTTCATTATATATAATGGGTGTGCTTAGAGTATACACTCGGTGGAAGCGACCCTCATCCAATGGTACCAAACATGGACGGATATCTTTACATATTACAACCCCAGGGTTTCAGAGGGAAATATTCCCATTTCTCGGTTCATATATCCGCCGGTTAGGAATAAAATGAGGTCACTGAGCCTCTAACTTCTAACTTGAGTACATGTAACTACCGACTATGTAGCATTCACACACCCGATTTACCTGCCTGTCAAGGTTATTATCTCAGACCTGAAACTTACCAAGGTAGGCATCTCGTCAAAAAGCACATGCAGTCGCTGCTACATTCACAGCAAACACGCTGGAAGTTTCCCGCTCTTATTCTTTTCAGCTCGCCAGTAGGCAGTCTGAAACCGCAATCTTGAACATCAGTCCCCTTCCTTCATCTTCAATGAAAGTCATGGTGGTGCTATCTATCATCACTGTAGAACATCAGGGCCCAATAGACGTGCGCAATCCTTTTCTGTAAGGCATTTTTTACCGTCCCATGGGAATATACCAGTTTCTGTATTCTGGTCAAATTATGACAACATCACCCACACATCTTATCGGCTTCATACCTCGCCGCGACATACACCACGTCGCATCAATAACGGGTAAGTTACCCATAAGCCTCAGAGGACTCTTCTCAGCTTATTTCATAATACCAAACAATATTCTGCACCCCGGAGCAGTATTAGCTCGCACCTCAAGTTGATGTTTCGACGCCCTCCTTTCAGGACTGTCCTTTTGCTTGTACCAAATTATCGTGACTCTCTAATTACTATGATGTTACTTTTCGGATACCCCAAATTCGTGCGCCATTTCCTACTTAATATTCTCCTCTGGCCTGCCGCTCAAAGTCGGTATGGACCTGCCGAGACTCCTATATCTCATCGCAAACTAAGGTTGTAAGTTGTAACCAAGCTTGCCGAGTCAATTCTGCTACCTATTCGAGCCTCTCATGGGTAAACGGTGTACATGGACACGTACCATTAGATGCTACGTGCCAACCCTGATTCAACTGAATATGAGGTCACAGTTGAATTGTTTATAAGTAACTTTGCCCCAGTCACTGGAATATCCACTTGGTGCACGGTTTACACATCTTCATCAATTCCTCCCAGCGAGTCTCATGCAACCCCAGGAGACCACCGTCACAACAATCAATACGGACAGAGACCCGTACTCCTCCAATGAACCACAGCCAGTAGTACCTCTTGACAACCAAGCTAACCACACATAGGCTTCCATTTGCGACCGGTCGCGTCAGATCTATGATACTGAGTGCCGCAGTTACCCATAAAGTACATACCTAGGTGTCTGCTATGTAGTCGAAGCAAACATATCCGAAGCGACAATGCTGCAAAGTCTACGAAGTATTACCTATCTCCCATTTCAGAATAATAAGGTTGACTACGTTCGCTTACGGCAGCGCTTTACAGTAGCGTTTAGCGCAGATTTTCCGGCAGATGTCCGGTGATGGCGCTAAAAGAATATAGAATTCCCAATAGCAACTTCGCCATCCAACCAGAATCCTCTCCCAGCCCTGGTAGCTCAATTGGCTAGAGCGTGGGACTTTTACCAACACGACACACGTTGGAACTAAGAGTCATCCCAAGGTTGCGGGTTCGACCCCCGCCTGGGGCGTCTTGTGCATGAGATGCTCTAAGCTGTAGAGTTTGTCTTCTTTTTTTCTGTTTTATCGCGAGGACATTCCAGTCAAGCCCAGGGATATTCACATGAATGGTCCTAGTAGTGAGTGGTCTTGTAATGCTGTTTTTCGATTGACACCATCATAGAAAAACTCAAGGGGGTTTTATTTTCAAGGCATATGTATGAATGTACTTGGATTTCGTTCAATTTTTTGAAATATATGTCGTTGCCAACTGTGTTTCCTCTATTTATAATGCCTGCGCATCCTCCTTCCATCCAATGCGACAATTCGAATAACCGGTAATATAACACACGTACAGTACAAGATACTCGTGTGATATGCCACTTTGGTTCCTCCCGCGCCCATTTTCAGCATCCCCTAAAACCACGTAGTTAAGTTGGGCTGCTAACAACTGTCCTGACTAGTCATAACGTCTAGCTAGATTGGTCTAATAATTCGCAGCAAATTATGACCACCTGGGCTGTAAGACGTAGGTATTTGATAGGACGGGTTATTTCTCATAATTCCCCATCCTATGAGCTGATAACTCCTTATCCGGTTAAGTTTTTAAGGAGTATTACTTAGGGAGAGTATTCCCGCTGAACTATAATAGACTTCTTAATTGGACACAACGGCTACATCGACACATATGTACCTCCGTCTTTAGCCTCCTCTAAAACGCACCAAGGGGCGTTCATGGAGTAGCTTCTTCATGGCGTAGTTCAGGTGGTTGTCCATAGGCGTGTTTTCTCCCTAGAATTAGAGTTCGGTAGGGATAAATTGATCTGAGGCGATACACCTAGGTATTTACGCCCCTTTACTACCACCTTATTCTGCAATAAGCGAGTCGCAATATGGTGGTAACGAGATATTTTATTAGCTAGAGATCGATCTTGGGTATGATTCTCGGTAGGTATGTAGCTCCTATTATACCGCCTTCACCGAGCCGAGCACAGAACAACCAACCAACCAACCTCATGGGCCATAGAATCCAATAGGAGTAAGCTGATAATGTTCTGTGTCAGTAAAAGTCCCAGGCTCTAGCCAGTTAACCGAGTTAGTTTTCTAATATCTTGGGGTAGCAGACAGAACCTGCTGAACCTAATTAGAACTTGGAAGGTGAGGCCATGTTGCCAATAGGTTGGTCATGACATTCATACATCTGATGGATGGATGAATCGTCGAGTTTTTCATTACTACTAAGTTTAGGTTCGGTTTTTTTTTTTTTTTTTAATATAGCTGGTTCTTCGTTACCTTACCTACTACAAGTTATAACTATGGCTGATGACTGGATGTTCTGCCGTACCGAGCTTTTATATAAATGATCTATCTAGGAGTAGAACTCTATTAACGATGTATCGACACATTATTCATGAAATGCAAAGCAAAACATATCCTTGAATCACTGAATTGTATGTAGTTTGCTTCTTCCATGAATTTGACTTAGTATGAGTCTGGTGAGCCCGACCTGCCAAATCACGTTATATAGTCACTCGGACTGGGAAAAGACCCCGACGGGTATTTGCCTAGCTAAAGTAGTCTTCAACGTACCTACTTCTCTATACCCACGTCCGTCCCACCGAAAAACGAGACAGCATATTACTTAGGCACTATACTATACGCACCGGCACAACATCGGCATTGCATCTGTGGTACTAATCTGCCTATTTTAGATTGACATGCATCGATCTTTTCGATCTAGACTGGGAATCAACCAGGCTTTTGCCGACAATGCGACGTTGGAGCCCAGGAGGCAGCGCCAAACTGGGGGCGTGCTCCGGTCTGCCGTCGGATCGTGGCGTACAACGAGCTCGTGTACAAAATGAGGATTATTGGCCCCTCTGCCCCTGTATGTCGGCAGTAGAGACCGAGGTGTAACCCCACATCCGAGCGTTCCTGGATATACATATATGTATCACGCGTCCGACCTCTCGTAGGTACCTAGGTAAGTCTGGCGCGACGGAGGATAGGTGGTAGTAACTCGTGAATATAGCTAAAGCAAGCGGCTAAGAAAATAAACCGGAACTTCGCTTTCTGCTAACCATGGTCACCAAAACCATCATCCTCGCGGCGGTAGCGCTTCAAGCTGTCGCCGCCACCGCGACTCTGCTCTCGCAGCGCCAGGAATCCTGCGACGCCGTGCGCATCTTCATCGCTCGGGGCTCCGACGAGCCGTACCCGGGGCGGCAGTCCAAGCTTGCGGACGCAATCTGCGACGGGCTCGAGAGTTGCGGATCCGAGGACATCGTGTACCCGGCGACGTTTTCGGACTACTGCTACTCGGCCTTCGAGGGCGTCCTCAACGGGACGGCGCAGATCTTGGCCTATGTTCAGCGGTGTCCGGATGTGCAGTTGGTGCTGACGGGGTATTCGCAGGTGTGTACATGTGCATGCATTGGGTCGGGTTATGCGGCCCGATGGAGGCAATGGGGGAGAGGAATGGAGAGGGGATGATTTGGGGAGCTCCCGGCGCTGACTGTTATGAACTAATATATAGGGTGCTCATGTCGTCGGTGATATACTCGGCGGCGGCGGAGGCATCATCCCAGACCAGAACTGCTCACAGCTGACGAGCCCTGGGCTACCCCGAACCGTTTCGCCCGGTAATCAGAGTGAGTCGTCCTTTCTCCCGATCCACTAGTTAATGCTAACAGCCTACTCTACTAGTTGTGGCTGCGACGTTGTTCGGCGACGTGCGGCATACGGCGAACCAGACTTACAACGTTGGCACCGGCGCAGCTGGCTCGGGTGTAAGTGCCACTTGCGATTACTAGCACTGCTTTGCACGCCGGGACGTTAACAACTCGTTCAGATTTGGCCCCGAGAAAATTCACAGCTGTCGTCGCTGAACGTGTTTTCGGAGTCGTTACACTCCTGGTGTCTTGTCGATGACCCTGTCTGCGCGGGTGGTGACGACGTCGATGCCCACACCAGTTACTTCGATGTGTTTATTAGCGAAGCGGCTACTTGGGTCAAGACTAAGCTGTAAATGTATTGTGAGTAGAAGTGAGTGGATATTTGAGGCCGCATGTAGTAACGAACGATGAATCATACACATCAAATAAAAGGATAAATTTGTGTTCTGATGTTGGTCTGTACGAAAGATTCCGATTAGGGGTATCGTTTTTGAGCAGCTCATCCATGAGCTGCCTGCTAATGGGTATGGCATGCAGAAACCTTACTGGCCAGTTGTAGCCTAACCGCTGGAATATTTGGGGGTTGGACATGCGATCAAGCAATAAACCCTCTGTTTCGAAAAGGTTGGATAAGTTACCTCGTGGTGTACTAGAAGGAAGCAGCCTGTAAAGTCACGAAATATGGTATCAACGAAATCATCTCGAGCACATGTGATATGTGAGCCGTGTACACGACGTTCTATCTTGATTAGCAACCCATCCTTTTCCACAGGGAATGATGGCCACTCCGGCATCCAAGGCGACTACATCACACAACTTTGATAATTCGAGCTGACAGACAGACACGGGAAGTATAAAGTCCTATGACTCTGGTGACCTTCCCTTCGCCACAATGGGTATCAGCTAAGGCGAGTTCGCTCTCCAAGGGGATGACGCGAATACGCCTATTCGGGTACACCGACTCGGGGAGGTCTATCGTGCCACTAGTTGACGCCCATGAAAAGGACTGAGCAACATATTTGGCTAGGAAAGGGTCACTGCATACCCTTCTGACCAACCCGGGGAGGGCTGTTAGCTTGTGCGCTGTATGAATTAATCAAATGAAGCTCTAGGTGTTGTAAAAAATCTGCTCAAAGAGGAACAGCGTTAGATTCTTAAGCCGTGGCGCGTGGCTTGCCGTTCTACGAGAATGCTGAGCAACAAGTACTTGGACTACCAAAGACAACATTACCTAGGTACATGTAGGTATGTTCTGATTCCCAATAGTACCTAGGTATTGTTGGTACCTACTCGCTTTGATAGCTTATTGGTTAACAGCAGTGATTAGGTAACTAGCAAAAGATAATTGGTGATGACATAATCGCCACTAACGAAAAAAAGCAACCTCGTTGAATCAAACCGTTGAAATCTGATTGGCCAATTGGCCAATTGGGCAAGGTAAGCCGCGGAAACGGTCAAACTTTCTAGCAGGGTCCCCACGATGCGATACGTACCTCCGACTTGATTGAATGCGAGCCGTAGTACCAAGGTATATCATATGCATCAGGCGATTGGCTCTGGGCAAACTCCAAAAATTTATTACCTAGCTGAGCTAAAGTTACTTGGGTATGCCACCACCTGATATTCATATCCGACCGACTCTCTTGACATTGCTTAATAGTCGAATCCTCTCCCCCCTCCCGTAATGGCCATGAACGGCAGTCCGCGGAGCGTCGCCGACGCCACCCGCTTTACGTCCAACACGCCGCATGCAATTACGAAAGCCTCCGCCTCCAATTCCTCTTCCAAGAAAGCCTCACTATCACAGCCGAATAGCCCGAGCTCAGCAACGTCCTCATTGGCATCTCAAGGAAGGATGCCGTCCCCCGGATCCCCGCGGCATGCGCATCACGAAACCTTGGAAGAGCGGGTGCGCCGGCTTCGGGCCGCGCATCTTGCGGCCAAGAGACACGAGATCTCCCGCTTCGACCGAGTCGTCGACGCTAGCAGGAAGTACTTCGATGCCGCCCATAAGTTTGTCGTCACGGGCTTGATAGGATTCAGCGGTAAGGCTTTTCTTGTCTTTCCATCAATATTCCCTCGTCTCGTCGTAAGAAGACCTCCTGCAAGCTATGAAGGATTCCAAGCGGGCTTTAGTACTGCTGGGTATTGGCATGCGTCCTTTTACCTGGAATAAATCAAATATCCCCATTATATATATACGTATACTCGCTCGCTAACCAACACGTCTACTCGTTCACTAGGTGTCGCCCTCCTCGTAACCGCCTACGCCACCGTCGATATGATGATGTACAACCGCAAGCGGCGGACCGAGTTCTTCGCGCTGCAGAAGCAGCTCCAAGCCGACAGCCTCGAGG